TTTCTCCTTTGTCATCACCTTGATAGTCCATTTTCCTAATAAAGTTAATGCTATATAATAAGAACCCATTTAATCTGATTGTAAATATTTTCGATGAAAGTAGCTTTCGAGACAATCATTAATTGAAACCAATTAATTTTTGCAGATTATGTATCTGGCGGGCAGAGATGAGCTTTAATGACGCCTAACAGATGAGACGACCAGCAAAATCTGCTCAAGCGTTGATCAGAACCGAAGAAGATTGTCTCGAGTGCCTCGATGTTTTGGTGCAGTCGAGGCACAGCAGCCAGAAGAGGACCGGTTGGCAGCATTTGGTGCAATCGACGCATGGATCTCTTCAGCTCTAAACGACAAATGATGCATCAAAAGACAGATCAAGACGTAGCTTCTCTTCACATGAATTAATGCCACCTGCAGGCAATTGGTAAAGTGTCAACATCAACAGCAAATGGTTGTAACGAAATGAGGTCTTTTGGTGAGTGCTGAGACCCGAATGGAACTGGAGAGCAGCAAAATGTCTAATGTGCTGTTGCACCAGCCCCTCAGGGCAACAAACAAGACAGACGAAAGCAAAGCACATCTCGTTCGAGGTTAAAGAGAAGAAGAATTGAGGGTCATCATATTGACATTTACAACAGCGACCAAACCAACAATTCTTATGTACGTCAATGTTGCAGATAACATAAAAGGCTTAAAGAGGAGAGCTGCATTGCTGCTTAACTTGTGATTATTTTCGATGAGAATAATTTCTAAACTATCAGTAACTCGTGAATAAAAACCAATTTTCGTATAAAAGTAGAGTTTTGAATCTACCAGTAAATCAGTAGTATGAGATGTATTCACCCTATTTCGTCTAAGCTGATGAAGGACTGGTAGTAGAATTTTCCTACAATCATATGAGTTGAGCTGACGTTTCCATTCAATTTCACACAACCTTGCTTTCCCAAAAATTGTCCTCATCCATGTGGGATTGTCCGTGAAGCAAACGTATTTTTGCTATAAAAATCGATTATGTTATCTTATTTTTCGTATTTAAGTAGTGTTTCAAGATTACCAGTAAATCAGTATATGAAATGTTCTCATCCAATTTCGTTTCAGGTGATGAAGGACCGGTAGTAGAATTTTCCCACAACGATATGAGTTGAGCTGACGTTTCCATTCAAATTCACACAACCTTGCTTTCCCAAAAGTTGTTCTTATCCACAGTGGACTGCAGTTTTTAGCAAATATACGTTTGCTTCATCGACAATCACACCAAAGAATATGATATGACAAAATGTCTGGCCTTTCTTGAAATTCACATCAATTTGGTAGAGCAGTTAACGTGTCAAGCTGCCATTCTGCACTGTCACCGTTCGACTACCGCTGGGGTTGGTGATAAAACCGATGCGAGGTCGAAACTGCAGTCCGCCCCAGCCGGGATGAGAACAACTTTTGGGAAAGCAAGGTTGTGTGAAATTCAATGGAAACGTCAGCTCAACTCATATCATTGTGGAAAAATTCGACTACCCGTCCTTCATCACCTTACACGAAATAGTAAGTGTTGAAGCAACCGGTAGATGTTGCATAAAAGCTGAATTCACCCTCGACTACAGACGGTAAAGACGGACTGATTGTTGATTTTTCCCAAAATAATATGAACAGATCACATATTTCCATTCAACTTCGCATAGTCCTGCTCTCGCCTGAGCTGAGCCCACCGGTACTGCTAGCGGGACTCGGACTCGCGTTGTGATGGTGCATCGTACAGGCTCGACACGTCCCGAGTGTCCTCGTCTGACAGGGGACGACGTGAATTTCAAGCAAGCTCAGGCCTTTACCAAATCACATTTCTGTCGTGCGATTGTGCATGAAGCAGACTTGTATTTGCTATAGCAATCCACCACGCAACTTATATTCCGTTTGAGTAGGTTGTTAAGCTACCGGTAGATAGGGAACATTCAATGCAACCATGAGTCCGACTCACATCATTGTCGAAAATACCGCTTAGGGTGAATAGAGCCATTATTGAGGAAGTAATTATTTAATTTTTAAACACAATGCTATGATTAAGCAACCTGTCTCCAAAAAGATCCTCTTGACTGTACTTACGATTCGATCTCGCCTGGGTCTCATCAGCAGAAACGAGGCGTCGGAAGCAAAGGGACAAAATGGAAGCCCTCCACCTCATTGGTATGCATATCAGTAGGTTACAGAGCAAATGTGACTTTCAAGACAATCCGGCCTAGCTTAAATCACATTTTGCTAAATGAGGTTGATAGGGCCAAAAGATATTCGCAAGTGGATCAGCAACCTAGAGAAAGAAACGTTTTCATTCAAGAATGTCTGAAGAAAAGCTGGCCTTTGAAGAAGCCCTTAATGATCGTGTGACTGGCATTTTCATTTCGAGCTAAAAGTTGATGAAAGGAATTGGAGTAACGGTCTCACCTCTTGAAAACCTAATCATTTTACGAAGAAAATAATGCTGTCGATTGAAACAGAAATATAAGTTTGCTTTATCAACACTTCCAACACACAGTTCGACTCCCGCTGGGGACGAGACGAGGTTGAAACTGCACTCTGGTCTTCGGTGTATTCAACCGGACAGAAGGAGAGACAAAAAAAGGTCAAAAGGTTGTTGTTGTGTTGTTAAGACAGACAAGGCTCACTAACGATGCCGGTGAAACGTCTGAAAATGTACCAACTTCACAGTCGGCTGGTGGAAGTTATCACGGATGCTATGGACCCGTTCCTCCAGGTCGCCCTGACGATACGAGCCATTTACGAAATAAAAAGTTACTTAATTTGTATACAACGAAAGGAAACCGCAATCATACATGCCCCCCCCCC